CTGTCACCACAGCTTTCTTTTTTTTTTTTTTTTTTAACGTTTTATCGGTACCAGGGATCGAACTCATGACCGCCTGCTTGCAAGGCAGGTGCTTATGCCACTGAGCTAAATCCCCAGCCCCTCACCACAGCTTTCTAAAGCCTGGAAGTGGGGCTTTGTTGAGGCAGGAAAGGTCAGCAGTGGCTGCCAAAAGGGTGAACTACAGCCCTGCTCTGCCCTCCGGCAGGGCCCTTCTTGGCTTCTGGGGCCTGCAGAGAGCACCACCTCCATGGCTAGCTCCTCCTTGGTTTCCATCCTCCAAATACAGATGACAACAATAGCAAGATGTTACACAGGCCTGACGCCAGCCACTATCTCCCCTGCTGCCCCTCTGGCCAACAGGGAGGTTCACCTTGACCCCACCTGAGGGATGTCCGCACCGTAATTCTTACAGTGCTTTACCACTACCTGGAGCCTGCCTCTGGGGTAGCATTATGATCTGTTACAGCACCCAGAAGTAATGAGACACAAAGGAGTGACTTGCCCAGTTGCAGGCAGTCTAGCCGCAGAGGCTGGTTTGGCCACTTGCCTTGTTGGAGACTCTGCTGCTGACATCTGTCAGACCCAATAGCAGGGAGTACAGGGCATAGCCTCTGGCCCCATTTCCTCCTCTGCACCTGGAGATGGACTGGCATTTACAAATTCTTAAGCAACGTGAAGCATCAGGGAGGATATAACCTGTGGTTAGAATAAGCCAGTGGGCCCTTCTACTTCACACCTCTGCTAGTGAAGAGGGATGGAGAGACTGGCATCCACTCCATGGAAACCCTCTGGCTTGTTTGGGAATCAGTGTGACCCTAGCACTTGAGCCTGCCCAGAGGCTAACTCCAGGGCTGTCAGTGAGTGGTTCCTGGCTGTGCCCACTTGTGCCCTTACCTGGAGGAGAACAGAGCACACCCTCCTTCACCATGGGTGCTGGCCCTCTTCTAAGCATGCAGACTCTATCTATCCCAGAGACACCTAGAAACTTCCCAGTCTCCAGGGGACAGGCTGGACCTTTGCATCCCATCAACACTGCTTCTAGCTTTTTGCAGCAGCACAGAGGTGTTTGTCCTACAGAGCCACCTTCCCTCCTGCCCTGTTTGGAAAGAGCTGCATTGTGGGGGGTCTGTAATATATTCTTCTGAGGGCCAGATAGGAAAAAGAAGCTCCAGGAAAGGCAGAAGACAGGGGCAGAGGAGGCTTACAGTAGTTGAGATAGTTTGCTTTGGGAAAGGACCAGGGCAAGAGGAAGAGTAGGAGAAAGCAGGAACAATAGGCTTAGGGGGAGCGGGGAGGAAAAGGGATGCCACAGTCTGGCCAGGCCTGGGCCGCCATGCAGACACATGGCATGCTCAGTGCACCAAAGCAGTGTGGAAAGCAGGTGGGTCCTGAACTGCAGCCCGGGCCCCCTTACATACCACACGTCTACCTTTTCATTCCATGCAAAGGTGCTCTGTGGCCAGGGACTGTCTTGTGCATGGTGAGGGAAGGACATTCTGACATCAAGAAGGACATCAGGAAGAGAAGCAGAGGGGACCTACCCGTGATCCCTGCAGTGCTGGTCCTGAGTCACCTGTCATGACATACGACTCAGGAGGAGCCACTGCCCATCATACTCAGGCCACATTCTAGGAAGGGCCAAGCCTGGTGTCACCCTAAAGTTTTGGGCTCTGCCGGACTCTGGAATTGGCTCCTGCTCACCAGGTACCCTGAGCATGCTGGCTGCCTGTACCTGCGCCCACAGGCAGCTGGACTCCAGTTTGTCTTTTGGGGAAGACCCAGGTCCCTGCCAGGACTGGGGCTTCCTCCTGCACAGGGCCACCATGACACCCACCTCCATATTCAGGAAAGCAGATGGTCAAAGGTGACTTCTTGATCTTCTCGCCAAATAGATCTTTCTTGTTGAGGAAGAGAATGATGGAGGTATCGATGAAGAACTTGTTGTTACAGATGGAGTCGAAGAGCATGAGAGACTCATGCATGCGGTTCTGCAGCCCCAGGTGGAAAGGAAGAGAGCAAGACAGACAGGAGAGAAGACACAGAGACAGGGAAAAAGAGGAGAATTAGGTTTAAGAGAGGGACTGGGCTCCTCAGCAGCTCATAGGACCCCTGTGCCTGTGGCTCCTCCGAGAGGCAGACAGAACGAACCTGAAATCTGTAAACACCACAGCGCGCCTGACTCACATTTGCAGAGCAACTCTGCACCAGTGCACCCATCATCTCAGAGCCAGGGGTGAGCCTGCACTGGGAACTGACCATCGTTCCCTGGGTGACAGGGGCACCCGGAGTCTTCCCACCGCAGGGTCTCCAGCCATGAGGGTTTCCCAGAATGTGTACACGTGGTGGCAGTGCTGGACTGCAGGTGGGGAGCTGGGCTTTGACTCCTTGTGTCTGGGCCTTTTTCCTGGACCCAGTTTGGGAGTAGGGAATGTCCTCCGGGAGTGGTGAGGACTCCAGGATTCTGTGGTCTGACAGGGAAGTCCTCAAGTCCTACTGGGATCCTTAGAGGATGCCACTGAGGAGAGATGCTCCTACCTAAGGCTGTCCGACTGGCCATATCCACTCTGACTGGGTCCAACTCAACTACGGTACAGCCTGCAAGGGATTGTAAACAGCCCGTGTGAAGTGCTGCCTTGCACACAGAAGTCTGCTTAGCCAATGGACGCATGTGATGGCATCCCCAGTGAAGCTGAGTCCTAGGCAAGGACAGGTTTTCCTACTTTGGGATGCCAAGCACATTCACTTGGGTAATCTATTTTTGCAGTGCAGAGATGCTTCTGCATAAGGAGGTGGGGGAAGGGACAGCCTTTATCTATTTTCCCAAAGAACCCTGTGCTATCTCTGGGAACTTCACCACCACAAACTGGACTCCTCCAATCTAAAGCCCAAGACCATAGGTAACCAGGGCTATGTTCTCCTGCTAAACGGAGACTAAAACATGGACTGGGAAAGAGAAGAGAGCTGGTGTGGCTATTAGTGTATTTTTTGGGGAAAGATATACTTGGTCCCCTTGAGAGGGGCAAACACAGGAGCTGGGGAAATTGCTGGCTCAGTGACCATGGCTATCTTCTACCAGGAGAATGAAGAAGATGACAAAAGTTACCATCACTGGTCAACAAAGCCCACGGTGTGCCATCTCTGTGCCTAGCACTGCACCTACCTTGTATCACCTAACATCAACATCAGGGGACAACAAAGTGACAAAGCTGGAACCCTGACGAGCAAAGGCTAGGCCTGGGGATGCTGCTCAGGGGTGGAGCATTTGCCTGATACATACGAGGCTCAGGGTTCGATTCTTAACACCACATTAAAAAAAGAGAGGTAGAAGAGGCTTCTCTGCAAGAACCAGAACCTAGGCAATGGTTTCTTGAGTCAATCTGAGTGGTCTGTGGCCTTTTGTGGAATAAATAACAAGCATCATGGCTGGTTCCACATTCCTATGATTAGCCCTTCTTCAGTCATCTCTCTCATGACTGCAGTACTATTATCAGTACTATTATGTGTTTCTTACAGGCTCAAGTTGGGTGGTGGAAGGGCAGTCTGAGTACTCAGTGGCACCAGGTGGCACCTACATACATGACATGGCTTTAGCCTCCTTCATACCATCGTCCTTTGAGTCTACTAAACACATCTGGCAACATCTTATGATTTCATTGATCTCCAGCCTCAGCCAATAAATTTCTTCCCCATTTCCTCCCCAGAGTCTCCCTGTCATTCACATGATCCCTTTCATGGAGAAGCAAAACTCATGTGCATTGTGGTATCTTGATGGAGTCCATTCTTGAAAGGACAGGTAGTTTCCTAGAGCCAAGTGAGCCACTCAAGGCTGACTGGGACCCCAAGGTTTCAGTAGGAAAGGGCTCCCACTCCACGAACATCCAGCAGCTGCCCAAGGAAGAGCTGAAAACCCACAGCCAGAGACAAGTTCCCAGTTTTCACTGGTGCACAGGTATCTTTAGGGATATCTGGCATTCCCAGGATGGAAACAGAATCACCAGAAAGGGAACCCAGGATGACCCATGCCGAGAATGTGCACTGTGCCCACTTGACACATGGTCTAAGTTGAAGGTATTTTTCCCAAGTGGCCCTAAGCTTTGGTTTGGGTGAGGACTCCAGGCCAGTTCCCGGAGGCTTTCAGGCCCCCATCTGCTGAGGCTCAGCCTTCTACAGCATCCCATTCTGCAGGGCTGCAAGGCTGCCTCCCTTCCTCTTCCAGCTGATGACTGGCACTGGTGTGTAAGGCCCCTGCTGGGCTGCCACAGGGATACAGGGTGGCCAGGCCAGGCTCCTGCCCTTGGAGAGCTCGGTTTAGTGAGGGTGTGACAGTGCACAGACATCAAATATGTCTGGGGTCCTGGGAGTGAGAAGGAATAGAGGAGGGGGCCCGGAGAACATCAGACATGCACAGTCAGCCTCTTTGTGAGGCCAGGACCATAGAGTGAATCCAGAAAGGTGAATTCTGGAAACTTAGGGAGTGCAGTGAAGAGGAGGCTGTAGGGTGAGGCGCCGGCACTGAAACCCCTGTCATGCCCCATCCCTCTAGACCCCATCACCAAGGAGCCGAGAGCACAGCTTGTCCTGATAAGCTTCCCAGGAGGAAACACGCCGAGTACATTCACAATCAGAGACGCCAACATTTGAGCAAAGAGAAGCAGGGGTCACAGATGGCCAACAGCCACCCTCCCCAAGGCTGTCTCCCCCAAGTGCCACCTGCCCAGCTGCGGTGAAGCTTGAGAGCAGCAAGCAAGTTGTGTCAGCACCATGTGGCATTAGCACCAAATAGGCCAAGACACCACGATGCTAGACTGGAAGGCAGTTGGGCCCAGGACAGCAGGACTGAGGTGGGCATGGTGGCCAGGAACCTGGCCTGTGCCCAGCCCACCAGGCTTTCCATGGTCCTAGGATCCAGCAGGGTACAGGGACAGGTGTTGTACTGTGCACCTGGCAGAAGCTCCTAGGGTACTGACTGACACAACGTATTAGACACTAGAAAGAGCTGGCACTTTTTATTAATGATAGTGACTAATAAATACATTATGGCAGCCAATAAATTATTACAATAGCTAGAGATTTATTAAACCGACAATTCACCCTCTTGCAAAATTACAGTTAATATGGGTTGGATGGCAGTGGTGGGCTGGGCGGTGGGACTACTGCACCTAGGAAGGCTCTGCTATGTAGGGGTGGGGTGCTGGGCACAGCTAGGGCACCAGTGAGAAGCAGCAGGGTGGAGACCAGCAGGTGAAGGTGTGCTGCCTGGAGCAGGGGGCAGCTGCGGTGGGTGGATGTGGGGCCTCAGGAGTGGGGTGTGGGACCCGGGTGAAGGAGGACATGGTCCACACTGCTGCTGATCTTGGTGCACAGGAACTGGGGATGGCAGTGACCCATCAGAGGAAGCTCCTCCCTGAAAGGGTCTGGGACTTTGAATCGGGGTCTTTCCGCTGTTGCTCTTGTCTACCCTTCCCTGACAGGGCCTTCATCTGGCTGGGGTGGGGGCTGTCTGGAGGCCCCAGCTCCACATTCTGGGGAGGGTAAATCAAATTTGACTTTTTCCACCGAGGGATTGGGGATAGGGAGCTGTGCCCCCGGGTCATGGCTCACAGCCTGGCCCTTTTCTCTGGCCTGCTGGGACCCTTCGCTCTGTTGCCTGAAGTCTGACAGGGGGAACTGTCTAGAGTGCTTATCTTCAGCACCCCAGATCAAATTGTTGATATGAAGGTGGAGCCTCAGGTTTTGGCTCCTGAGAGCTGCTTTGTGTCTGGAAGCTTTCAGAAGGGTCAGAGATAAGCACAGGCAGCCAGAGAAGCTCAATAAGTGGTGGGCAGCTGCTACTGGGTCTGGATGGAAGAGGTGGAACTCCTCTGTCACCCTTCCAGGTCTGGATTATGTTTCAAGAAGATTTAAGGGTAGACTAGGTCAGATGGTGAAAAGGTGGGCAGGTAGCTGCAGGCTTGCCAGAAAGCAGCGTCTGCCACTGGGGTACCAGCTGTAGGCTGTGTCTATCAACTGTAGACTGGCTGTAATCCTGCTAGTGGTAAGGAGGTACTTGTTGAGGCGATGCCACAGCCCTCGCTTGCTGGGGCTTTGCAGACAGCCTGGTTAGCAAGCTGGGGAGGTGTTAAGCTGCCACCTGCCCCTCAGTCCACATGGGCAGAGGTGCCTCCAGTTCCCACCAGTAAGGTGTGGTGCTGGGCTGAGGGCAGTGGCTTGGGAGGCTGAGTTGTTTCCTGACACCAGACACAGTGGAGGTCTGTTTGGGCTCAGCCAGGCCAGTGGGAACAGAAAGACAGAGGGCACTGGGAGGTCATGGGACCCAGAAGGCCAGAGCTACAGATGAGGATTCAGGCTCGTCAGACCAGAGTCCTTGAGCCTCAAGTACCCCCCAGGCTCACTCAGGGAGCCTTGGAGGCCTCTGGTAGCACTCAAAGGAAGGCAGAGACCTGGTTCTTGAGACTGCTACTGGGCAGGGCACAGAGTGTGCTCATAGGCATCTAACTGATAGGCACATTTTCACCAGTTTGGCAAAGGTAATCTTCCTAAAAATCAGCTTCCAGTCTGCATGCTAAATTAGAGCCAAAGTTTATCACTGTCTCATTGGGGACACACCCAGGGCCACTGTGGATTAAAAAAAAAGCACCCTTCCTTGGTCATTCACAACACTTCCCCCCACATCCATATCCACGACGGAGCCAAAACTCACATCACCCCAACTGCCCCCACCACCACGGGAGAGGCGATGGAGCCAATATGGCTGGGAATCGTGGTGCCCAGGGGTTTTCCTGCAGGGCTTACATCAGACAACCAAAGGTCCTTCCATCTGTGCCAGTTTCATGGCAGGACATGGACACAACTTTCCAGCAGGGTGGGCTGGGACAACCAGTTGGAAGCAGCGCAAGACAAATGAGCAGGATGGAGCATCCAAGAGAAGAAAAAGGCACACGGCACGCAAGGCAGGAAGGCCCTGAACACCTGTCCCGCAGTGCTCCCGCAGGGGAGGAACGGATCCAGGGTCCTGACTCCAGCTTGGGACTCTCACCACTTGGGGAGATACAGAGCTCAGAAGTGACAGGTTTGTGACTTTTACCTCAGGGACGGCATCTGCTAATCTTCTTCTCTTCAGGTGTTCTGACTCTGAGTTCAGAATCTAGGGTGGAATGAGCGGCACTGCTGGCCTTACCTAGAGTGGCTTCAGTGTTGCACAAAATGGTTAAACAGACCTTAGCCTTTCATGGCAGGACATGGACACAACTGGCACCAAGGGCCTTTCCTCTGCCATGTGCCAGCACCTGGTATAAGGTTCAAAAAGTGATGGGGTTTAACAAATAGACAAGGAGTTGGGCTGATGGGCCAGTTCCTGCAGATTGACTGCCAGAGGCAACTGTGAAACACACCAAGGGGAGACACCACGAGGGGCAAGCATTTGACACTAGAGAAGGACTGCGAATCTCCTGTACCATCCCGAGCACTGTGCCTGTTGAGCCAACAAATCCACAGCTGTTGGTATGGGGCTCTTCCTGCTTCCCAGGCAGATCAAGGGGCTACATGTGGCAGCCCAGGTGTCCTGCCTGGCTTGGGACAGAACTGTGTTTAGAGTGGAAACCAGGAGAACAAGGGGCTCAAGGAGGAGGCAGCTCTTTCCCCTTGTGTGGCACATCTACCTGGGCTACTGGCTATGGCATCAGGAGAAGCCTGGGAGTGAGAGGGAGGTGTGCTGATTGCCCAAGGCCAGCCAGAGCCAGGTCACCAGAAGTCACCCATGCCTCTATTTAGGGACTTCTACAGCAAAGCTCCTTCAAAGAGTCCTAGGACCCTTCCTCCAAGGGCCAGGGCCTTCAGAGCTCACACTCCAGGTCACTGGTTCCCTCTACCTGTCCTCTTCTGCCACTGGAGACTGGCAGGAGAATGGGGGCCTTCTGAGTTCTGGGGCCAAGATGCAGTGGAGTGGGCACTGGCTGCAGGGCATGACCCACATCTCCTCTAGGCCTCTGAACTCCAGGGCTCCCAGCTCAAAGGCTCCTACCCATTCCTACTGGTTTTAGTTAGGCTCAAGAAGGAAGAGGAGGTTCACACACACCTGGAGCGGCTGTGCCAGGAGACCAGCCAGAGCTCTGTGCTGCTGTCTCTGCCTCCCATGCAGAGCCTCCTTCTTCTTTCTTAACTCTGTCTGGCACAGAACTGGACTTTAGCCACCCAGCTTTGCAGCCAGTCATTCTCAGAGTATTCCAGGCCTGGGACAAGGGCAAGGGAGGATGACCAGAGGAGGTGGGAGACTCTTGCCAAGGCCTGAGCCACAAAGTTGGCCTAGTTCCACCCTGGGTTTTGGTGACGGAGCAGTACTCAAATAGACAGATGCCCGGCAAAGCTGAAGAACGGTTTCTACTGGCCCCTAACCTGCCTGCACCCTACTATACTGCAGGGCCACCCTGCCACCTGTACACCCAGAGGACAGGAGGCCTCAGGGCTTCTGTAAAAGCCACGGAGTGCAGGACGTGCCCTTTTTAAATCAAATGGCAGCTTGGCACTCTGTACCGCAGCCTCTGAATAAAACAGTGACAAAGCAATGGCCAACAAGTGGCACCCAAGTGATCTCAGGAGGTCTCCCGCCTTGTGGTGCACGGCACGGCGCTCAGTACCCTATCCCAGCCCCGTTACCATGGATCCAGCTGTTGGAGGGGTAGAGGTGGGGTGTACGTGAAGGGTGCTCCCTCCTCCCCCCTGGTGCCAGCCTCTTGGGTCTTCTTTCTCAGTGCAAAGAGCAGCCTGAGAGGTGGCAGAGCTCTGGTTCCAGGGAAGAGTGGGTGGGGGTTGGGCAGGGCATGGGCATTTGGGCAGGGGGCTGGGGCTCAGTAGAGTCCACAACCCCGCAGATTTTTGGCAATGATGACGTCCGTCACGGCATCAAAGACAAACTGGATGTTGTTGGTGTCCGTGGCACAGGTGACGTGGGTGTAGATCTCCTTGTGGGCTGACTTGTTCTTGCTCTCGTACTGGGCCTGGATGTAAGCCACGGCTTCCGTGAAGGCACTGGGGCCTGTGGGAGAAAATGGCAGGGAAGTGAGCAGAGGCGTCCATGGGGCCATCTGGCATGGATGGCTCTGGGCCTGGCTGGCATGGATGGCTCTGGGTCATAGAGAAGATGCCTAGGGTCTCCTAGAGATAGCCTGCAGGAACGGCTGGTGGGCTGGGGAGACCGAAGGCTCAGCTCCAACAGTGCGCCAAGCAGTACTGGCAGCATTTGAAATTCTGAGTAGTGACCATGAAAGAAACAAAATGACCAGTGATGGTGAACCTTTTAGAGTATTCACTGATAGCAAACAGCTAGCTGTGCCACATATGCCTTTCATTTGTGACCAGACTATGAAACAGACTATGAGGTTTTCGAGCCATTGCCTGTACTACAGGTGAGGGCCATTATACAAAACTGCTACTTTCCTCTTACACACACATCTACTGACTCCTAAGGCTGTCAGCTTCACATCTCACCATGGTCATGAGCAAAGAAGTTCAGAGGTGCCTGTCTCTTGCAGGGTCCTCTGTCTGAGGGCCCAGCTGCTATGGGGCAGGGTGGGACAACAGATCTGTATCTGCTGTGATGAGTGTGTTGTCTGTGAGCTTGGCCTCCTTCCCACTATCCCCCTTCCCCCTTCCCCCTTCTGGTGCTCATTCTCAGGAGGAGTAAGGATTCCTGGCTCACTCATTCGCATCCTCCTCAGGATGCACCATACTGATGGGCTTCCAGGATCCCAGAAGAGGGTGTCTGGGAGAGCAGCTGCTGGCTTGGGGAGGAGCAGAAGAGTAGGACCCTGGCTTTGCCCTGAAGTGCACACAGTCTGCACCGGCTAGGCTGGAGCCACTCACTATGGGACAGGCAGGGATGAGAACCAGAGTTTTAGTTGAGGGTTAAATTGTGGTGGTGTTCCTGGGAGAAGGTTGCAGCCATGTCAAACACCTTAATGAAGGCTGAAGGCCTGGCTTTGAGATTTAGCAGACCATAGATCTGCTAAATCTGGGCTGGCAGTAAAGGAAATACACCTGGGACAGCAGGGAACTCTCAGACTCCCTAGATTAGGGGTCCCCTCCTTCCTCACCCCAGCTCCAGACGGGTCTTGGTGACTAAATCACTCTACCTGCTTTCACTGCCCCACACACAGGATCCCAGTTTATGCAACAGAGGAAGTTGGCTGCTGGGTGCATAGCTGTGAGGGAGGCTGAGCTCCACTCCCTCCTGGCTGGAGGCTCCTGGGCTCCTGCTTTTGGGAAACAGGGTGGAGGTGGGGAGGGTCAGGAAGGCTGTACTGCTTGCGCAACTGCAGGCCACAGCTCACAGGCCCTCCCTGTGGGGACTCTGTGTGCCCCTGCTTTATGCCCTGTAGGCCTGAGGGTTGGCCAGGCAGAGAATGCCTATTTGCCTCTCTGGACAGGGTCTAGCCATCTGTGAAGAGCTGATGGGCACTGGGCTACCCGATACCCTGCTATGCCTCCATTGCCGCCTGATGGGGACTGCCAGCCTCACAGCTCCTCAGGGCTCAGGTTGGACTGCCTCCAATCTGCCACCTTTCCAGGGATGGTGAAGCCCACTGCAATGTGGACAGCTGGCCTCTTGTCCCCAGCACGTTCTGTAAGATGATCAGGGCCCTGTGGCCTGCAAGGCTCTATCACATTCAATACAACATTTGAGTCTCTTAGCCACCTCATGTGGAAAGTGCTATTCAAATGCTTCTTTGTCACCATCACAATCCCAATGGTCAGAGCAAACTTACAGTGAGCATAAATTCAGAGTGAGCGGCAGGCACCATGCTACGCTGTGTGTGATCATTAGCTCATTTCCTTTCACAGCAACTCTATGAGGGAGACAGGATAATCATGGTGATCATCTCACCTCACAGATGTGGAACTGAGGCACAGTGAAGTCATGTGACCTACTCCAGCTGCTCATGAGTGGCCAAGCGAGGGCTGGACCTGGAGTAGCTCGATTCAGCCCCAGCCTGTCACCCCACTATCATTCTGGTGTTCCCACCATATACAATCTCTATTCACAGATGAGGGCCTCAGGCTTCCCAAGACTGCTGAGGTCACATGGTTAGAAGTGAAAGTCTGGATTCCAGCCTGGTGAGCTGCTCTGGTGTGCTTCAGAGGTGGGGCAGAACACGGTGAAGGAGGACAGCCTGGTCCTTCGGCAGTCTCTGTGGCCAGAAGGGACTGTGCAGGCCCCTGCTTCCCTACAGAGGGATCTTTACCTGTGTATTCAGGAAAGCAGATGGTCAGTGGTGACTTCTTGATCTTCTCTTCAAAAATGTCCTTCTTATTAAGGAACAGGATAATGGACGTGTCTGTGAACCACTTGTTGTTGCAGATGCTGTCGAAAAGCTTCAGGGATTCGTGCATGCGGTTCTGCAACAGAGTGGGGAGGTGTGTGAGGGTCAGCGGTGTGGGGTCCCTGACCCACCATAGCCATGACACAGGGGGACAAGCAAAGGGAAGGGCCACTCACGCGGCTGAGCGTATCACTGGGGACGGAGACGGGAGGGTCCACAGGACAAACAGGACATATCCCTGCTTCATTCCACACACAGGCAGGGTGGGGTGGAGCTGGGGTGGGAAGGTGGAGGTACTGCCCCCTTTCAGAGGGAGCTGGCCCTGTGGGGCAGTGAGGTCCCTGGAGAGGCTGCAGCTCCTGGAGAGGACATGCACCATGCACATGGGGACAGGGCCGCAACCACCATCCAATAGGTCTACACAGAACCGCAGGTCATGCAGATTTCTCTACCGGGGTCTCATTTGGTTTTGCCAGCAAGGTTGGGAGGTTGCACGCATTCATTTGGGTAACATTAACCGAGGACTGAGAGATCCTCGAATTAATCCAGAGTTGGAAGCAGACACTGGAGGACATTGTCTCGGGATGATCTTGCTGTGGCCTTGGTTGGCTGGGTCATTTGGTAGGTTGGATAGGTAGTGGATGGGGCGGGGGGAGGCTCTGAGAGAACTGGTTGTTGGCTGGTTTCTCAGTAGAGGGGCTTGAAGAACCCAAAGAAGAAACACAGCAAAGCAGATTAAAAATGAGTGCAAGGTAAAATCCCAACAGCAAATATGGGAGAGAGAAAGAAAAAAACTGAAAAATCGATTTGACCAGTCTTAGAGCCAGAAGTCCCAGCCAGCCCATGTTGAGGCCCCTGTGCAGGTTCACAGGAGCCAAGGGAGGCCTGGGACAGGGACTGTGTGGCTGGAGGGGGAGGGTGGAGGTGGGGAGGCTGACCTTCAGCCGGAAGAGCAAATGAGTGGCTGATGAGTGTGGGTGGGGGGTGGCTCGGGCAGGCTTTCACAGCAAAGTCACCAGTAGTGCAGAGAACCTGCTGCTTTCAACTCTTAGTGATGGTTCTGGTTGGAGAGAGGTGCTTCATACCTGCTGGGCTTGGAGGGTCTTTCAGAATCTGCTCATGGATTTGGCCTTGGTTTGGCAAGATAAGGCCTTGCAGGCGGTGGTGGTGGTAGTGGTGGAAGAGAAGTTGTGGCAGCCTGTGGCCTGGCTGGGCGGTGCTGAGAGCAGGTACGAGGACAGGATGAGCCCTCAGGGTCCCGGGGTGGATCCGCTGGACTGCAGCCACTAGCCCCTGGGCCCGCATGGCCTAGCTCCAGAGCTGCTTCAGACACCTCAGTCTCGGGCAGCTCCAACTCTCACCATAGGCCAGGTTGAGAAGCATGGGGCTGACCAGAGAGGAAGGCTAGGGACCAAGAACTGGGTCTCTGCTGGCTAAATCTTGTCTCTGGGAAGAGCACTAATGCCTGACAGCCTGTCCTCAAGCCATGGCATCTGGACAGAGGACAAGGACCTGCCCTTCACTGAATGATACCTCCCACAGTCAGGTCCTCTTACAGGTTTGGGCCCAGAGGTCTCATGGCCACCACAAGCCCAATCTGCCATCATTACCATGTACAGAGAAGGCTGTGAGGGTGTGATGATTACCTATGATCTCACAGCTGACAGGGTGGCGCCAGACCCTAGACCAGACGCATGTGACTTGAAAGGTGCCCATGTCCACCCATGTCTGCCCTCCCATGCCCTGGACACACAGGCGACTACTTGGTTCTACAGCAATGGCACTGCTCTTGTCACCACCATGGTAGTGAGCCATCTCTGAAGGTTGCTGTCAGGTCACAAAGCCAAAGCCCATTCCCCGGAGGACTGCTGCTCTTCCCTAGGCTTAGTAGGTGGCCTGTGTTGGGCAAGAAAGGACCCAGGAAAGACAAGTTCTTGCCTCCCCAAGGCCCTGTGCTCTAGCATTTGTGGAGAGGGATAAGGGAGACAGGAAAACAGCAGGGCAGTGAGGAGGGGGTGACAGAGGAACAGGTAGGAGAGGAAGAGGACACTGAAGGGCAAGTGCTCCTAGACATGGACCCTGCTCAGCAGCACTCATGAGGAGCTCTCAGGGCACTGTCCTCAGTGCTCACATTCCCTGGAGACCTGAGAGCCATGGATCTTGGTGCCCTTTCCTGTCAGACCCACCCAGGCATCAGGTTAGTGCGGTTAGTGAGACCCTCAGCCCCATTGTTGTACCCCAGTGAAAAGGACATCCCAACCCAGTATCCAAGTGTGTCACCTTAGGAAACCCATGGTGACATGCAGCAGCTACTTGCAGGTGTGGCCAGGAGAAAAGATGAAGTGAGCCAAGTTAAGACAATATGGGTGGCCAAGGGGAAGTGGTTCTAATAGCACAGGGTCAACTCATAGACCAGTGAAGGGTGTTCTGGGGGCAGACAGGTTCAGAGACACGTTGTCAGGATCTGTGCCGGACTTTGGCATTCACTGAACCTGGGCCTAAGCATGGCCTACGGCGCACCTGCCCCACACAATCAGGCCTAGGCTGGTACCTCTTAGACACCACTGCCCACTGAGGTCACTGAGAACAGAACAGATGAAACCCATCCAGCAAGAATGAGCACACTGCGCGGGTCCAGATTCCCACCCAGCTGGTAGCTTCCAACCCCATTTGCCAAAGCCTCACTGTGGTGGTATGAGCCCCTGAGGGCGGCGGCTCCTTCCCCTAGAAAACTGCATCCAGTATCCCACACCCTAAAGTTTATCCCATCTCCACAGCAGTCTGCAAGAGCAGCAGGGCTAGGGCTGATGAGGAAACTCGAAGCCACAGGAAAGACGCACCTTACTCAAGGCCAGCATAATTGGATGTGCACCTCCTCGCACCCCCATCCCTGAGCTCAGGGACTAATGGTCCAGAGGGAAGGAAACAGATGCTAGGATGTGAGCCCTCAGCTTGCAGCCTGCTCGCAGCCTGAGGCTCATCTTGTGACCCTGTGGGCCACATTTGACGCCTGGGTTTCCTTACAGATCCTGAGGAGAGGAAGGCCTAAGTCCCTTGGCGGCTGCAGCCTAGGTGGCGTCCACCCACCTGGCTAAGAATGATCACCAGCAATGATACAACCATTAGCTCTGCCCCACTGTGTCAGAAAAGGTTCCAAGTGCTGCACGTGGGTCATCTCTTGCCTTGCCAGCTCCTCTGACAAGGCTGTGACTATCATTCCCTCCTTTTACAGGGTGACAGTAACGGAGCAGAAAGGACACAATCCGCATTGCTTTTCAAATGACTGTTCCCTTCCAGAGCAGGTCTAGCAGTTCTCAGAGGCCAAAGCCAGAGGCCCCAGGCTGAACGTGACATACAGAGAGAAGATGGAAACCTGGCCTGGCACCCCACAAAGACAGAGCTCAGAGCCACCCATCACTCCTCAGTATACCCCATCACCATTCCCCTTCCCAGGAGATACTGACCTCACACATCCCTCCACAGCACCCTGGCCAATGCCAGAAAGGGCTGTCAAGGCCACAACACTCATGTCTACTGTATCAACATTTTGTTTGGCCACACCCTGATATTTAGGATTTGCTTAATTCTTTTTTTTTTTTTTTTTTGTCTTTTTCCTTTTTATTGGTACCGGGGATCGAACTCACGACTGCCTGCTTGCAATGCAGGCGCTAATGCCGCTGAGCTAAATCTCCAGCCCCTAGGATTTGCTTAATTGTGTTCTGGCCTGATGGCTCCAGTGACTGCACTGAGTTTCTGGAAGAGGCACTTCCTGTGACCCTAATGCTGCAGAGCTGTGTGATCAGATTCCATACAGCTCAAGGCCTTTTTTCTTTTTTTGGCAATAGGTGAGAGATTGGGCCTCATGGCCTATGTGTGGACTCCAGAGCCGCATGGGCAACTGAGTTCCTAGCGTTCCCAGAGCAGCCAGTTCTGTGGCTCCCTTCGTGCTGTCCCCGTCCGGTACACCCAGGGCTGCTCACCGTGGTTTCGTCTTCGTGGAGCACCTGGTCATAGCCGCTGAGCGCGACACAGAAAATGATGGCCGTGACGTCCTCGAAGCAGTGGATCCACTTCTTGCGCTCAGATCGCTGGCCCCCAACATCAAACAGTCTGCCAGAAAGACAGGAGAGCTGTGGGTAGTGAGGCCCAGGCACGTGGGGGATGCCTGGTGGCTCATCTGTGAGTGTGCTCAGGGATGGACATAGTATCCAGTGCCTCACAAGTGGCCCCTATTTCAGGTGCTGACAGACAGACAGACAGACAGACAGACAGGGAGATCTGTCACTGTGCCATTCTGGGGACAGAGGCAGCCATGACTGGTCTTGGAGTTTATCCCAAGAATGGCTGTGCTCATACAGGGTAACTCAAAATTGTGTCACTCCATGTGATGAATATTACTAATGGAGCAATCTCAGTAGTCCCCAAGGAGTGCCTCTGTGAGATCTCCCTGTCACACTAACACTGGCATTCTGTTCTTGTGTGTGTACTCTGGATAAACTCTAAATTTAAACAGGAGGAAGATGGGCAGGAATTGTCACGTTCTAAGTGGAAAAAAGGAGGTACCAAGGTGCCAAGATTGTGCCCAAGGCCCTGGTGTGGGCATGGTGGAGCTAGGGTCGAACTCAGGCTTCCTATGCTCTGCACCCCCTCTCTAGTAGACTAGCTCCAGGCTTCTCCTGGCTCAGTCTCCACTAAGAGGGGTTCAAGGAGGAGACTGGGCAAGACAGGACACGGGTCCTGTGGTAAGGGATCAGTTTCACACCTTGATCCTCTGCACAAGGATCCTTGAAGCCTACTGGGACTGGGAAGCCCACTGGCACACATCTCAGTGTGGGTGGGCCTGGGCCCTGGAGACAGGTACCCTGTGGCTCCAGACAGAAGATGGCAATTACAGGCAGACAGCAGAGCAGGTACGCTGTAAGGAAACGGGTCTAGATCTCATCCTACCACTGCCTCCGGTGGGTCCCACCTCCCTGTCTGAAACACAGGGTGGCTGGCCAGTGGTCTCTGTGGCCTTTCCAGAATGTGAGGGCTGAGATGAGGTCACCATCTTGTACCTCATGCATGAGCAGGAGAGGCTGAGGTGACTGGAAGGCAAGAGAGGCCCTCAGGGGCCACACTGCCCACCCCAGTGGCCCAGGCCTTAGAGACCCAGAGTTGCTCCACAGTCCTGTAGAGAGGCTTGCCTGCTGGGCCTATGGATTGGAATGTAGAGCCTCAGCCCCTCTGCCTGGCCAGGAGGAACAGGGAGCCAGGAAACAGCATTTACACCTGTCCACTGGCCAGAGCTCCTGGCCCTCTCTTCCTTCCTGGCATCTTTCCCTGTTCCACCTGACACCCAGAAACCATGCCTGGAAGGCAGGGCAGGGGCTGCCAGGCCTCAGGTCTCGGAGGTTACCAGGGAGACACAGTCCTCCAGCAGGCTTGAGAAATATGCCCTCACCGCTCGGCACTGTGTCTGGGCCTGTGACCTCAGCTTCCCCCTATATCCTGGGAGCGGGGTGCACTATTCTCACAGCCCCTACTGCTCCAAGCTGTCCTGGGTCCTCCGGATCTCACTTGTATCTCTTGGGCTTACTCAGCACCTCTTCCTCCTCAGAAGTCACTTCAGGGAGGAGTCTCCCTTCCTTTTCCATCCAAACCCTCCCTTTCCTCACAGTCTCATTTCATGACTCCTTTTCCAAGAAGCTCCCTTGGTCGTCTCACCTTGAAGGTGGCAGAAAACACACACACAGACAAGACCCAATCCTCCAGCTCTGAGGCGGGGTGCTGCTATCTGGTTGCACCACATGGACAAGGCTGTCTTGGGTGTCTCCATCTCCCCATCGCCCTTACCATGGCTGGCAGTCTCCCCGGGCCTCACCTGAAGTGGAGGTTCTTGAATGTGAAGTGGGTTTCTACGATGCCAGTGGTTTTGACCCTGGTTCGGAGGATGTCCTGCTCGGTGGGCTGGTAGTCGCCGGCCCCAATCCGATCCAGGCTGTCCAGGTAGCTGGGGAGGGCAACATGCAAGGCACCATGAACCAGGCCCCTCTGGCCTTGCACAGCCACTTACCCCCAGAGTCCAGTATCAGCTGGGGTCCTCACAGGTGACTGGAGGGGCCAGCCAGGGGTATGGGGACAATCAAGGCAGAAGGACCAGAAGGTCCCCACCTCAAGGTCTCAAAGAACCTGTCATTCAGACCCAAAGGCACAGCCTGAGGCACACAGAGAAAATATCCCTATGTGGGACTGCCATGTTTATAACACCATCCTGTCTTTTCTATTTTTATTTCTTCATTTTATTTGTACTTATTTTTATTTATTTATTTATTTTTTGAGACAGAGTCTCTATGTAGTTGTTTTGAGGGTCTCTACGCATAGGCTGGCTACAAACTTGTAGTGACACTCCTGCCTCAGCCTCTCAAGTGCTGGGATTACAGGCGTAAACTACCACACCTAGCTTCTCTTTCTTTATGTTAAAAATAATAATGGCCAACAGTTAGGTTTGTTTATTTATTTATCTAGTGGTATTCAGAGCTGAACCCAGGGCCTCTGCACTGAGTTACATCCTCAGCCTCTTTTTTACTTTATGAAAAAAATTAAATTTCATGACAAAATAATGAGATTAACAAGTTAGTAACACTGTGTGTTGCCATCATCAGAGTGTAAGACATATGCCAAAAATATTCTTACAAAAAAGAAACCGATAATAACACAAAACCACCTTTTCAGTGATCTAAGATAAGCAAATAGTATAAAGGAAATGGATTAGCATATATATTAAAATATTTTTGAAACACCAAAATATGTAACTTAGGGAGCTATTTGAACTTCTTCCTACTTCCTATTTATCTTTCTGTTTTGCTCTTTATTTACACATTTATGCTTTTGTATTTTTCATATAACACAAACATGTGACACTTGCGCTTGTGTGACTGACTTCTCTTAAAATCTGAGACACAGTCTTACCGACTGGCTAAATTGCTTCTCTTGGCAAGGCTCAAACATGGCAATTAACCTGTCTCAGTCTCCTAGATTGCTGGGATTACAGCTCTGTGTTACCATACCCAGCTGGTTTATTCTTCACATGTGAGCACACTCCAGCCTCGATTTCCCTGTATCAAGTGTACTTACTGTTTTATAATTAGAAAGCCGAGGCTCAATGCAAGTAAGGACTGTGTACATGGCCTGACCTGGATGCTTGGCTCCAGCATCTTCATTCTTAGGGCTTAGTCCCCTTTGAGAGGCCCTGGGCATCTATCTGCTTTTCCACAGTTCCTTCTTATTTACCAAGGGATCTGTTTGTTGCTTTCCAGTGGATGCTCTGGGAAGAGGAGAGGGATGGGAGAGGCGCTCAGCAACCACACAGGGTGCTGGGACCAGGCCTCTGGAATCAACACTCTTCCCAGTGCCTCTTCTTGGGAGTCTGACTGCTCTTGGGGAAGGCTTGGTGGGGTGGGAGGGCCAGGGATCTGAGGCTGCTCCTGTGCTTCTGCTTACAGGCTGCTCTGATCTGCTTGATTCTGCTCTCCCTCCTGCTGGACGCTGGACCTGAGGACCCCTGGTCTTGCCCTTTGCATCCCAGCCAGGTAAACCTCCTTTGGACACATGACCTGGCAACTGCATGTTACACACAAGATGGTAACGGGAAGGCAGGAAAGTGGGATGAATGTAAACCTGCCGCGCATCCTCCCTGCCCACTGCCCCACATGTCAGGGTGGGCAACGGCTGACACAGATGCCAGTGCACTAATGTGTGTGCACATATGAGCAAGGGCAGAAGCAAGTGCCAGAGGAAAGCAGCAGGCGGCAGTCTGGAAGGCCGGCAGGCGGGATGGGGAAGGAAGGTTCTGGACTGGAAGCCTGATGGGGTAAGAGAGTGGAGGGCGAGCTCGCACAGGCAGGGAGTAGTGAGGCAGGAAGCACACACAGCAGGAGCGGCAGGCAGGGAGCCTGGGGCAGGACTGGACAGACCGCAGTGGACAGCAGCAAGCAGGGTGGGTGCAGCATGCAGGCCCTTGGGTTTCGGTAAGGACCCAAGCTTTGCTCTGGGTGTGAGGGGAGCCCTGGGAAGGTTGCTGGCACCATGGCTCTGCTGGCCCTGGTGGAGTTTGCTGGGGGGCGGGGTGCTGCCATCAGCCAGGTGAGAGATGATTGCAGGCAGGTACTTCAGGATGTATCTGATAAGCCACATATGAGAGGAAGAGCCTCAAATGCCTCATTGTGACAGTGAAGACTCAGTTGATGGGAGGGAGGCGGGAGGCAGCAGCCCTTGGGGAGGGTGGATGCAGGAGTTCCACAGCCTCGTTTTAATTTGAGGTTTGTCTGAATGTCCAGATGGACACCACAGAGGCAGAAGTCAAGAGAAAGGGCTGACCTGCAGTGTCCATTTGAAAGCGGTCCAGGTGTGCAAGGAATTTAAAACCATGTGGGACTGGAGATTGCCCAGGCACTGGGTTTTGGCAGGAAGAGGTTTGAGGTCAGAGCTTGGGCCTCCAGGAGAGATGGGCAGGAAGCATGAGGGTGGCCAGTGAAGAGCTGAGGCCAGTGTCCAGAGAGCAGGAGCTGCAGGAGGAGGCCTAGGGCCTGAGAGGCCACAAGCTGGCTTGGCAGGTGGAAGAGGCCATCAGGGATCATTCAGTGGGGACCAATTCTGGGAAAACCAAATCCAAGCAAGGCACGGAACCTTTTCCCATTCCTGGCTGGGCACAGGCAGGCCTTCTGGGTTGTTGGACCTGCTTATTCTGAGGGCAGAGCCAGCTGTTGTTCACAGAAGTGTAGACACACGCACACGGAGAGTGGAAATAGCTCAGGAGCAACAGACAACACAGACTTCGTCCCTTTGCCCTCTGAGCCCTGGGCCCTCACCTTGGTGAGCAGGGCTCCGGGTATGTGGTGCCTGGGGCTTTAGGTGTCAACAGTGTGGACAGCCTGTGAGACCTCCCTCTGGTTTCTATCACAACACACTTCCTTTTATCTGTTTTATATACTGGGCCTAGGGTTTTGTGAGAAGATGAGATTTAACTGCTAAAACAATACCAGAGTCCTGGACTACAAGGTATCTAAGGCCCTTCTGACCCTTACGGTCTGTGTGTCCTCTCTTATGTGCTGTGCCATCCTGTCCCAGAGAGGAAGCCAGGAGACATAGCGGAAATCCTGGCAGGGGAAACGTGGAAGGAGGCAGAGATGGGAGAGAGACCAGAGACAGAGACAGAGAGAGAGAGGGAGAGACTGAGAGAAGGAGGAAGACAGAGAGAAAGAATATGAAGGGGAGGTGAATTTCCTCAGGTTTACTTGGGGAGCTGACAAATACTGACTTGAGTTTCTTATTTAAAATTGTAATGATACCCACCGAAACAACTAAAAATAATTCTGTAACTAGGAAAAAACTGGAGGCGGATGTGGAAAGGGATAGAAGAAGTAAGGTGAGCTGAATTTCTTATAGTCCTCAGTGGGGGTCAGGGAATATTCTACTTAAAGTCGGAAGATGGATTTTTTTCTTGTCACCACTGGGACAAGAAAGTGGAATAATTAACAGTAGAGGGGACAGGCTTTGGAAGGACAGATTACTCCATATTTTATACTCCTATCTATTGTTTAAAAACTGTTTTTGAGGGGCTGGGGATTTAGCGCAGAGGTGTAAGTGCCTGCCTGGCAAGAATTTGATCCCCGATACCAAAAATAAATAAATAAATGAATGAAAGTTTTTGAAATGTGTTCATTTTATAATTAATGCAGTAGGTAAAAATGTAAGTGAAGAGCATGATTTGATGGGCCATCAGTGGCCAGCTGGAGCTGCCCCTGAGGGTCCTGCTGTCCCTCTGAGTGTGGGTGGGCAAGAAGAGAAGGAAGGAGGCTTCTCAGGCTCTGAGGACCGCCCAGGTGAAAGGGACACTCTCTGGCTTCCTGAGTTCTTGGGAGGCCTGGCTCTGGCTCTGTGAATTGAGTGTGCCTTGGGTCCTTTCCCACCAAGGTTCACCAGAGTCTGGGCCAGTGTGGCCATCCCTTGGGATTCAAAGGATTTAGGTATTTGCCTGGTGGGCAGTCTAGGTGTGCAGACTGGGAAGATGTTCTTAGCCTTACTGGAAGCCCCAGTCTGTCAGCTGTCATCACCACCACTGAAAACACCCCACTGCCCATTTTTGAATGCCTTTCCATTGGCTCAGCCTGGGAACATCAGCAAGGGGCCTCTTCATGTCTTCACTATTAATGTCTTGGGCCAAGTATTTCTTTGTTGGTACCTACCTCAGAGGAGAGCAGTTTAGCAGTATCCCTGGCCTCTACCCAGTAGATGCCATGAGCACTAGCAAAATGGTAACAACGAAAAATGCCTCTAGATATTGCTGAATGTTGTGGGCAAAATGGCTCCAGCTGAGAAGCACTGGTGGCAGTGGCTGAATTAGAGCCCATAAAGTGGGTTAATGCCCTGGAGCTGCTGGATGTAAGCCCCCACTGAAAGCCTGGGAACCAGATTACAAAGGTGGGGCTCTTTCTTGGGCACCAAGATGCAAGCAATCCTAGCCCCTGCATTGCAGAAGACATCCCATCTCAGGAGCCTCCAGTCTGTGGACACGCTGATCTAGGGGCTGCAGGCAGTAACAGTGAGGATGTCCAGCAGTCACCGGCTTTCTGGGTGGCTCTGCAGGGCCCTGAGGCCTTTTCTCTGCCTTTCTCTTCTAGCTCTTCTCACCTGCTCTGGCTTTTTACCACTTTTCTACTTCCTCTACTCTTCTCCAGCACTTCTTCTCTCCCAATCTCTCCTCTTTATTTAGTTATGACATAATAATAAGGGGTATCTGACCATTCTGTTTATTGAATGATGCCCCCTCCCTCCTTTCTGGTGCTTTCTGTGATATTGGGGACTGACTCCAGGCCTCCATACTGAGCTACCTCTCCAGCCCCTTCCCCCCTTTTTTTCACTCTGAGAGAAGGTCTTACTAAGTCATAAAGTTGTCCAGGCTGGGCTTGAACTTGTGATTCTCCTGCCTCAGACTCGCAGAGTGCTGGGATTACAGGTGTAGGTCACTATGTCTGACACTTACTGCTTATTTTTAATTTTAAAGTTAGAGTTTATTAAGATACCTTATCTATTTTGTGGTGCATTTGTGTTTGGAGATTAAAACCCCGGGCTTTGCACATGCTACCACTGAACTAAATCTCCAGTTTTAAAAGTTTATTATTTTCTCCAAAGTAAAACAAAACAATACCATTTGAGTTATGTTTTGCCTATCTGGACCTTGGTTTGTAATTATGTGGTTAAGGACTCTCAAAGAAAAAAAAAAACAAAAAACAAACTCTGCTACCTTCATTCTGGGTACAGGTATAGTTCAGGACAAGTAGGTGACAAGTCCTGGTCCTTGGAGAGGGGATTTTCCTGTTTGGTTGTCTTTCTTGCCCTCTCCTTTCCTAGGCCTCCTTATCCTGGGGGGCAGGAAGAAAAGCCCCTGCTTGTCCTGATGCTTGGCCTCAGTGGTAGGAATGGCCCCACCAGTCCTCACCCCTCCCACCCAGCTCCAGGCCTCCCACCTGCAGGAGACACTCACTATTTGGCAGAATCATTGAGCTGATATTCCCGAGACCGGTTGAAGCACTCTTGGATTCCTGAGTCACCCCAGAGTCGCATCATGGCAGAAAGCAGCTCAGCAGAGAAGGGCTCGGTATCTTCCATGCGACTCACCACGTCGCACACCATCTTGGCATCAGCCTAAAAAGAGAGAGGGACACCAGGCTCTGAGGCTTCATGGGGCTCTGTCTAGTCAGGTCTGTGGCACAATGAGCTGGCCAGAGTGCCAGCTTGCTCGGGAGGGGCCCAATCCGGGTTGTGCATGGGACATCAGGGCCTCTCAGGCCTTCTGTCCAATGTAACCTCTCAAGCAGCATGGTGTGCAGGGCTCTGCTCCCCACTCTGCTGCTCAACGGGGGCAGCTCTTCTTTCCTGTGTTTTGAATACTGGGGTTTTGTACCAGTATTTGGGAGAAAAAATTAAAATCAGTATTTTTGGCTAGTATTGCAATCTCCTATATTATTTTACCCCAGCTGGGGGCACATTTCTGATTACTTGAGAATTATGGTTGGTTGAGGACTTTCACCCCAGTGGAGGTGTCTAAATCTCAAGAATTTGTAGGCTCATGCCTATAATCCCAGCACTTAGGAGGCTGATGCAGGAGGACTGGCATGAGTTCGAGGCCAGTTTAGACTACATAATGAGTATAAGGTCAGCCTGAGCTACCCAGCAAGACTAGTCTCAAAAAAAAAAAAAATTAATTTAGGCCCTTAAGCTAAAACCTCTTTGAGTTGATTTTTATTTATGTGTTTGTGACCTGTGGTTACCAGGAAGCCCAGGCCTGGTTATACAATGGAAAGGGAAAGGGAAAGATACTGAGATTGGGAGCCTCTCCTCCAGCCTCCTTTCCCTCCTCCTCATCTGAGGGGGTGGAGCTGAATTTGCTTAAAGCACACAGGACTAGGCTGAGATTCCCCTGGACATGAGTAGAAAGTACTATGTAATTCTTGGGACAACAAATGTGTCATCCATTTTTAGTGATTACAATCAAGGATGTGTCATCTCCAAATCAGGAATGCAGTGATAGCTCAGCAGGCTCCTAGAGAAATCAAGTCACATGACGGGATCTTTAGCACAGACAGCACATGCAGAGGGTGTTTTAGAGTTTACAAAGGACCTTGTGTGCACACACTCCACTTCCTTAGAGCTTCACAGGCACCTCAAGAGGAAGCCTCAGAGCTGCTGGGTGGGCCACGTCTGTACCTGCTTGATCTGGGTCCTCTGCCCTGCAGACTTCCAGCTCCTCCCCTATGCAGAATATATTTTCTGTACTGGGACTTGGCTCAGGGCTTTTTTTGGCCCAGAGAATGATGTAGGAGCAGCAGTGTGCAAGTTCCTAAAGCCTTGCACGATTGCTAGTCCCCTGTGGACCTCTATGGTTACCTTGAATGCACCCTGGATCTCATTCCTCCGGGGAAGAAGAGCTACTTTGTGCCATGTAGAGCTGAGGCCGTCCTGGATCTCTGATCCTCAGCTGAACGAATGAAATGGTTGGGTACAGAGGAGGCTTGCTCCATGGCACGGGTGTGGCAACAGCTAACAATGCAGTAGTCACTCACTCCATGGCCTTTGTGTGCAAATGGCAGTAACTAATCCCTAGGAGCCACAGAGAGGATGAAAGAACCCAAGCTCAGGACCAGAATACCTTGACACTTTCCTGTTTCTCTCTGGTAGCTGTGTTAGAGGCTTAGAGGCTTCTCCATGGGTTGGGAGACACATGTCTTAGTCGTATCAAGTAACTCTGGAGATATATCCTTTTAAGTTTGTCTCATGTCTACACTCAACAAGACATAGGGCACTGGAGGGACAGATCCAACGTGGGTATCCAGCAGTTCCTGGTTCTTCCTCCAGCTACTTTTCCAGTAGGGCTCAGCCCATGTTGGCCTGGGGGAAGGGCACAGTAGGCTCGTGTTTCTATGACTTCCCAGGTCCTCCCGAGTTGGGGTGTTTTATTCATGGCTGTGACTGTGATTACCGAGTGGTTACTCTGCAGTGAGTCATTTTAACCCTACCTCTCCAGGGAAGGCAGAAGAGATGGACTGCCCAGTGAGTGGTGTGTGTGTGTGTGTGGAGGGGGCCTTGAAAGTCTGCAGGCCTCCTTTAGGGTGGGAGAAACAAAGAAAACCAGGTCAGCACCTGGAAGGTTTGGGGCCAATGAAAGATTCTACACAAAACTATGTAGGGCCAAAGCCTTCTCGGAGACTTTTCCAGAACTGCACTGTCTGGCTAAGTGGTTATTTACACGTCAGACTATGTACTGCAGAAGGCTGGCAGGAAAGTTCTTGAAGCTGCCCCATGAAGGAAGTGACCACTGACATGAGGGCTGAAAAGCCAAGACCGCAATGCTGATTCAAACCCAGTCAACCACCCTGGCCCTTGGTCCCAAGCCACCCTCATGGTACAGAGGTACCAGGAAACCTGGGCTGCTGGGAGTCCCCTGGTAGTAGTGACCTGGAAAGCTGGCCTGAAGCCTGGGTAGGTAATGATGACACAGGGAGGGGTGAGTGGGTGAGCAGGAGTGGCACCTCCACCTTTGGCTAAAAACAGTTCAACACCTCGAGGCCTGTGAGTCAGGGCCCCAGTCCGCTCCAGCTCCTCAGCAGGGCTGCCCTCAGGGCTTGGGCTTCCTACCTGTGATGTAAGCCATGATTTACCAAACTTCCTTTCCTCTGCCTCATCCCCATGGTTTCTGCAGATGTGTGAAGTGACCCATGCAGAGCAGGCCTGGGGAGTCAGGAGGGCAATCTAGGCCTGACTCTCTGTCAAGTAAGAGAAGCCCACTCTAGTCTGAGTGCTCAGGGCCACACCACACTACGCACCAAGGATACATGGGGCACTGTAGGTAGAAAACAGAGGACCCCCCACAGCACTACCTTGTGCCCCATGTTTGTTCCTCCATGCATGACATGAAGGTTATGGTTCCATTGTAGTAAGATGGATCACAGCTTGGAGACAGCCCAAGAGGTGACTTCCTGGGATGCTTCCACGGAGAGCCAAGGGTCTAGTCTTCCTCGCAGTTTCTTTCCTCCCCGAGGTGCGCTGGGGCAGGGGGGTCCTGTGCTGCAACTCCTCCACCGCCTTTCTGTTCCTGCCTCATCTTCCCCAGCTCAGTATCCTCACGACACCACCCCTGGCCCAACTGCCTGAACTCAGCTCCTCAAGCCCTGCTTCCTTCCCGCTGCCCTGTTGCACCTTGCTTCTCTCCAGTCTGTGCACCACACAGCAAGAGACCCTTAGTTTTCTCCTGGCATCAACTCTCCCAGTTTTTAGAAAAAAGTCCCCAATTATTTGCTGGCTGTGTACAATGACATCCAACTAACAGGCTGCATTTCCTACTTTTGCTTGCTGTTAGATGTAACCACATGACAAGTTATATGCAATGAGAAATAAGCTGAACTATGGAGAGGTATTTGGGAATGTAATTTTAAAGAGAAAGGCCACTCTTTTTCTCTCACTTACTCCTTCCTAATGCCCAGAACTGGGATGTGATGGTTGGAGCTGTGGCAGGCAACTTTGATCAGATGAGTTCACCCAGGGGATAGTGGAGCAGTGACCTAAAATCAGCCTAGGTCCTGTGGAAATTCCATACTACCTGAAGTCATTGAGTGCATTTTTAACACTTAAATTTCTGTCTTATTTAATCCACTATTTTTAGTGTCTCTAACATTCATAGTCAAACTTCATCTCCCCATTGAAGCTCCTTGAATAGTTTCCCATCATCCCTAAATTCCAAACTCCTCACTGTGGACTAGAGAACTCCCACCCACCTCTCTGTCCTCAGAGGCCCCTGCTCCCCTTCTTTCTGCTCCTCAAACAAGGCTTGCGGCACTCCATCCATGCAGCACCTCCACCCTCGGAGGTGGTGTGGGGAGTTCCTATCCCTCAGGGCAGCACTGCTTTCCTGATTTCTCACGGTGCCTCGGGTCTCACACCCAGCGTAGGTGTTTATCAAAGATTGTGGGATGAAGGACATCTGGTATTTTGTTTTGTTTTGTTTTTTAGGCAGGGTCTTGCTTTAGAGTTTAGGCTGGCCTTGAACTCAATATGTAGCTCAGCCTGGCCTCAAACTCATGATGGTCCTCTTGTCTCAGCCTCCCGAGTACTAGGATTACAAGTGTGTGCCACCATGCCTGATGACATCTGGTATTTTAATATCAGGCATGTCTCCAATGTGTCCTGTGCTATGGCCAACAGATCTACCTCATCTCAGACAAGACCTGGCCACCAGGGGCCAGAGCTCAGGACATATTAGTGCAGCTCAGACGGCAAGAGACTGGCAGGGAGAAGGGTAAGAAGGCAGGACCAAGCAGGGGTTTGCTGATGTGCCCTGGAGGCTTGTGGAGGCTGCAGGCTAGCCTAATCCAGTGGGTATCAAGTGTAACAAGCAATTAACAGAGCCAGAGTCTTTGTGTATCTTCAGGGGCCTGGGAACAGGGCTCAAACTGGGCCTGAACTTCCGGTCCAGGGCTTCTCTGAGGCCAGAGGTGTGGTGTGTTTTTCAGCACCTTTCTGTCCACTATGTGGCACTGACACTTCCTGCTGGTCAGAGTACCCAGGTGTCCAAACAACACGAGGAATGATGAAAACACATGTATGTCCTCAGGGCAGGCTCACCAGGAAGCACGGTCTGGAGATTTGAGTCTGCCTAAACTCATATGCTGAAAGTTAACCCCTGGGTGACTATATTAAGAGATGGGCCTTTAGGAAGTGAGAAAGATGAAGCTCTCAAGAATGGGATTAGTGCCCTTACACGGGATGGCAGAGAGAGACTCTTTCTGCCATGTGAAAATACAGCAAGAAGCCAGCTGCCTTACCCAGAGGATGTGCTGCACATTGATTCTGCACTGTCTGAGCCTCCAAACTGAGAAATAAGAGTCCAGTTGTTTATCTCTCATTTGGGGTCACCTGTCACAGGAATGGGAGCAGATGAAGACAGCAGCAGGTCTGACCCTTGGGAGGTTTCTGGTGGAGGCTGCTGGTGCTAAGCCCTCTAGGAAGCTCGCTGCCTGCTCCTTCCCAGGCAGGGCCTAGCTGCAAGGCAGTGGCCACGGGGGGCCTGTCCCTCCCCTCCACTGAGGCCCTTTCTGCTGGGTGATTTTCTCTACTTCCATCTCCGCTTCCTCAAGCAGTGAGCTCCGGCT